TTTTGTATGTGCTCTGACTGGAGATCGAACCCCCAACCTTGGCATATCGGAACGATGCTCTAACCAACTGAGCTATCCAGCCAGGGCCTAACCCTGTCACTTTTAATATGTTCATTATTTTGGTTGCCTCATTGCAGTTTTTGCTCCCTTATATGTGTGACTATGCCATTTTGATCATGTGAAGCCATAATAAAAATACTCATTTACTGAACGCTTACTATGAATTAATGTACTGTGCTTGTTTTATATACATTACTTCTATTTAAATGTAAGAGCTGATGTAGTGAATACTTACATTATATTTATTACATTACTTATATTGAATGCTTACCTTGTTAGGAACTGTTCAAAGAGCTTTTCATTCATTAACTTAACTCATACAATCTTATGAGAATAGATACATATTAACCCCTTGTACAGTTCAGAAAACAGGCTTATCAGGGTTAAGTGACTTCCCTAAGATAACACAGTAAACAGCTGTATTAGAAGTTTATTAGATCTCTTTAATTCTAAAATCTCTGGTCATTTCATTATATTGTATCATTTGACTTTGTTCATGTGTTCTTTAATGATTTCTGTTTGGCCTTCTTCTAGAAAGGGTCTAAAGATTAATAGAATCATTAAAATGTGGTTTGATTTATGTTTTTCTCCTGATGCTTCTGTTAGCTCCTTGAGGACAGGGACTAGAGATCATGTTTGCTTCTGCATTCTTCCCAATAAATGCAAAGTAACTACTTCGTGGATGAATGAAAGAAGGGTTTTTTTTTGTTGTTATTTTTTTGTTAATAGAACAGTTTGTCCACTGTCACTAGCACAGCCAAACACTAGATACTGAGAATTGCAGTGGAGAAATATTGGTTATTTTATTGTGAATGGTGCCACCCAGGAGAACAGGAAGTTAATGTTCAAAAGCCTGAACTCCCTAGTGGCATGTGGGTTACAGATTACATAGGGCAAAATTATAAGACACCGGGATTAGGGGTTCCTGGTTGTGCTGAGAGCTGATTGGTTAGTGTTGAGGTAAGGGTAATAAAGCATTTCTTCAGATCTTGAGGATAATTCTAAGGTCTTTTCCTACGTCTCTGTTTGGTCTTCTAGAAAAGTAGCCAGAGGTCATTCCACATTATGGCTCAGGAACTAAAACATACCTAAGTCAAAATGTTATCTTTAGCCTGCCAGAGGACCATGTGACCATTAGTCAGGTTTTGTCTAATGTCTTCTGCTGCCTTGGGGGTTGCTGATTATCTGGGGAAAGGGTAGGTCTCTGGGGGGTATATGTGTAGAAGGGGATATTATTTCTAGAGCTGGGACTTAAAACTAAATTTAGTCAAAGTCATAAGGACCCTTGCTTTTACTCTCCCAGTAAATCTAAGTTAACAAGGCTGCTTAATAGAGCCTTAGCATGCTAGAACTTGATATAGTTTGAAAAATCAAGTCAAACTCTTCCTTCAAGGAGGAAGGATCTTGTTGGGGTGACCCAGTGAGTTGGAGGCATAACAGAACTTAAAATCCAGGTCTAGTGGACTACCTTGTTTCAAAGAGCCTTTCCTGTCCCTAAATTCTTTTTTTTTTTTTTTGTACAGACAGTGTGGGAGGGAGAGAGAGGAAGAGAGAGAGAGGGAAACATCGATGTGAAAGGGACACATCGATTGGCTGCCACCCGCACGACCAACCAGGGCCGGGGACAAACTGCAACCGAGGTACATGCCCTTAGCGGGAACCGAACCCGGGTCTCTCCGGACCGCAGGCGGACGCTCTAACCGCTGAGCCAAACCGGCCAGGGCCCTGTCCCTAAATTCTTTTCTTCCCTCTTCCCCCTTCCTTTTCCCTTCCCTTTTCTTTTCCCCCTTTCTCTCATTCATGATATGAGTTGAATAGCAAAGTTTCAAGCCTGAAAGTTAAAAAACACAGCAAGATTGTTCATTCCTTTCACACTGATGTCTAGACTTATTCCTGATTATGTCTTTGTTTAAGCCAGAATAGAATCCAGTTCCTCTGCCTCTCACTGCATCCTGAACATGGAGAGCAGCAGCTCATGCAGATGAAATTGTCTTTGACTAGAGTCCCCCTCAGAACATGCTATTGATACTTGGTAGGGAGTGGTAAAGAGGCTATTAGGGTATGCTGGTTGTTTTTATGCAATAGCTAAGTTTTGGGGAAAGCTGGAAGGAGACTAGGAATTCCTTTTCTTTCTGAGAGAAGACAAAAGTGACCAGACCTTGTGATTTAATTCTTCTCTAGTCTCTGTTTTGTAAACATCCCCATGAACCTGTTAAAGCAAATAGTGTGAAGACTGAAGTCTGCAGCCCTTCTTTCCACACCCACCTCCATCTTCCCCCTTTTATTGTCATGAATTTTGTTTTTTTCCCCTTGTTTAAATAATCTGCAATTGTTGTTGTGTGTTACTACATCAGGGTTTTCCACACTTTTTTATGCCAGAATATTTTAGAATGTTTCCTTTAGAGAGCCATTTGGGGATTCCTAGGTAGAGTTGGTACTGGGGCTACGTTAGTCACCAACCAGCAGACAGCACCTGTGGGCCCACAAAACTAGAAGCTTTAAAGCAGAGTGGTTATGTCCCTCCATCACTCTTCCCCTCCCTCGTTCCCCAGCTTCTCCCCTCCTGTAAAATAACATAAAAAAACTAAGGCTTTTTCTTACCACAAATCAGTCTGTAGGAGAGTAGTATCTACGGACAGCTAAACATTAAAAGGTGCTCTAAGCTGCAATTTCCAGTGTGGCAGCCACCAGTCCCATGTGGCTATTGAGCACTTGAAATGTGACTAGTCACTGTAAATAATGCACATCTGAGCCTTAGTACAAGAAAAGAGTAAAGTAGTTCATGAATAATTTTAATAAGTACATGTTGAAATGGTAATATTTTGGGTATATTTGGTAAAATAAAATATATTAAAATTAATATCATCTGTTTCCTTGTACTTTTTTCTTTAAATTTTTTTTTCCTTTATTGGTTTTAGAGAGGGAGAGAGAGAGAGAGAGAGAGAAACATCAATGAGAGAGAAAATCGATTGGCCGACTCCTGCATGCCCCTCACTGGAGATTGGGCCCACAGCCTGGGCATGTGTCCTGACCAGGAATCGAACCGGTGACTCCTTGGTGCATGGATTGACACTCAACCACTGAGCCACACCAGCTAGACTGTTTTCTTGTATTTTTATTTTATTTATTTATTTATTTTTATTTTTTTATCCTCACTCGAGGACATTTTTCCATTTTTTGTTCAGACAGAGTGGGAAAGGGGGGGGAGAGAGAGAAACATTGACGTGAAAGGGACACATCCAGTGGCTGCCACCTGCACGACCAACCAGGGCCAGGGCATATGCAGGAGACAACCGATTGATGTTTCTCTCTCTCTTTCTCTCTCCTTCTCTCCCTCCCTCTCTTCTTCTTTGAAATCAATTTTTAAAAATTAAAATGTGGCTTTTAGAAAACTTAAAATTATATATATGTGACTTGCCAAAAGTTTTCTCACCCTGGCCAGTTTTGCTCAGTGGTTAGCCTGCGGATCAGAGAGTCCCGGGTTCAGTTCCCACTAAGGGCACATACCTCAGTTGCAGTTTGTCCCTGGCCCCGGTTGAGGTCATGTGGATGGCAGCCAGTTGTTGTGTCTCTCACATCGATGTTTCTCTCTCTCTCTTCCTCCCTCCCTCCCACCCTATCTAAAGATAAATGCAAAAATGTCCTTGGGTGAGGATTTAAAAAAAGTTTTCTCTGCTATGGAACCTCAGGAACTAGCTACTGTTTTCCTTTCAATGTTGTTTCATTTTATTTGATGACACCAGGAAGAAAGCCTTCATTAAGTGCTAATGATCCTTTTTTTTTTTTTTTGAAGTTCAAATAAGAGCTGTTTATTAGCCAGCCGGTGTCTGATTCCGAACACCCCTATGACAGAGTCTTCGGAATCAGCCATTTTTCTTTTTTTTACACTTGCTACTCACCTGAGACAAGTGACATGTAGTGAAAGCTGGGTTGGGGGAGGGAGTTAGGAGGCATTAGGGAGCAAAGAAAATGGTAATTGGTCCAAACTTCTGACTTAGAATTGTTTTATACATTTGAAACTCTTCAGATCTCTGAGATAGAGATCTGAAGGAGGGAAAAGTGAGTTAGACACTCTTTAAAACAGAAATGTGCCTTCCTCTTGAGTTCTAGTCTTGCTTTCCTCTTATTTATCTAAATTTATTGAGGATCTTTCATGTGCCAGACAGTTTTCTAGGACAGGAAACAGATGAATATGGCCTAGTGACTGCTCACTCTCAAGAAGCTTGCATTCAGGCAGAGAATGAATTTGAACCCAGTCTCGTACTCTAGGTAAGCTCTGTAATGATGGCAGAAAAGGAAATGCTTTTGGAGCACTGGAGAGTCATGATGCATTCTGCCTAGAAAGGAGACTGATGGCTTCCTGTGACTTGATGTGACGTTATCAGGCAGAAAGGCAGATGGGGAGAGTGTTTTAGGCTGAGGGGGACAGCCTGACTAAGAAGCATGGGGAGTGGTAGAAGGTGACCTTGGAATTGTATTTTGGGGCCATATTGTGGGGGATTTGACTGCCTGTTTAAGGAGTTGGATCATATCCTATATACAGGGACCACTAGAGGGTTTTAAGCAGGGGAATGACATGTTCAAGACTGTATGTTAGAGATGCCACTCCAGTGCTCCTGGGACGGTAGATTGGAGGGGGAGACACTGAACGCAGGAGGCTTAATAAGGAAGTTGTCATAGTCAGCCAGGCAAGGGACAACAAGGACACAATTGGAAAGGAGAGAATGAATATATACAATAAACAGTTGGGTGAGGGATGAAAGGGAAGTGTCAAGTATGGTCCCAGGTTTTCAGCTTTGGTCCCTAGGTAGTGCCTTTTTCCACAATTGGAAATGTAGGAAAGGATCAGGTGAAATGAAACACGTAAGATTCACTCTGCACTTGTGGGTAGAGCTGCAGAGGGAGCTGGCTAGAGCTGAAGTGCTTGTTTTGTGTTTCAGATGGTGACCCTCTTTCAGATGTGGGTTGTTCCCCTCTATTTCACAGTGAAGCTGCACTGGTGGAGGTTCCTAGTGATCTGGATCTTCTTCTCTGCTGTCACAGCCTTTGTTACCTTCCGAGCCACCCGAAAACCACTAGTGCAGACAACCCCAAGGTGAGAATTCAGGTTGTGGGAAGAGCTAGGTTTCCTGAAGCTAACGGATTGGGATGCGTGGTTGGGGGAGGGGGGGTGATTTTAGACTGAAAAGTTGTAATTTTTATGTCAGGTGTACTTGGCACTGGGCCCCACCAAAACAAGCTGATTGGGAGACTAATCTCCCTTTTACAGATAACACCCCCCCCCCCAAGTATTTCCCCATAGCTTACCTTATCGTTTATTTCAAGGTCTGTTTACATTAAAAGCAAACAACATAGTAAGTAAATCCTGGTGAGCATTGTAATACCATTTAAAATGTCATTTTCTTCTGTGAATCCTTCTCTGATCTCTAAGTTAGATTTTCTGTTATATTCTTTTAGGGCCCTGTAGTTTTCTTTATCAAGCTTGTCATAAGATATAACTAAATATTATTTTGAGAGTCTATCTCCCCCACTAAACTATAACTATGAAATCAGGAACCACATTCATTTTGTCTGTCACTGTATATCCAGGCCTTACCATGGGGCCTGGCATATAACTGTGAATTTTTGTTGAATGAATGAATCTCAGCAAATTTGTAATTTTACAACAAATACTTCCTTTGGGGTCATAAAGTACCTCCTGTCTGTATAATTATTTGTATTTTATCCAAATGCATTTCTTTTTATTTTATTTTATTTTTTTATTTTTTTTATCCTCACCCGAGGACATTTTTTTTTCTATTTTTTGTTCAGATAGAGTGTGGGAGGGAGAGAGAGAGAGAGAGAAACATCGACGTGAAAGGGACACGTCGAGTGGTCGCCACCCACACGACCCAACCAGGGCCGGGGACAAACTGCAACCGAGGTATGTGCCCTTAGCGGGAACCGAACCCGGGTCTCTCAGGACTGCAGGCCGACGCTCTAACCGCTGAGCCAAACCGGCCAGGGCCCAAATGCATTTCTTATTTGATCCTTAGAAACAGCTTGTGAGGTCATTTAATATTTGTACTTAACAGAAAAAAGAGATTATCTCATTCATTCATTCATTCATTTAACAAGTATCTGCTATGTGTCAATCCCTATGTTGAGTGCTGGAGATACAGAGCTGGATAAGACATGGTCCCTGCCCCCAACGAGTGCTCGGTTTAGTTGAGGAGATGGACGAGAAAGCAGTTGTTTCAGTGCAGTTGGTAAATACTATGAGATGTGTGTACAGGGCCAGTAGAGCCAATCACAGGCACTGACCAACCTTGGAGCTGGGACTGTCTGTTCCAGAGACTTCCAAGTTGCAGGCTGCTCTTTCTCCTGTGCCTCATATGTTCCACTATACTGCAAGTCTTTGGCTGTCTGAATCTCGTTCTATAAAGTAAAATTTATCTTCAGGGTGAAGTTGGTGATCTGGAAGCCCCTCTCTGGCTGTGGTAGCTTACTTTACATTAAGGGCATTCCATAGAAGATACAAGCTTGGTAGACAGATGGATGTGGATTGGAAACCCCAACCCTGCCACTTGTTAGTTATATGACCTGTGTGACTTCACCTTACTGACCATTGAGTTCTTTAACCCCAAAAGTGTGGTAATAATTGCTACTTCATGTAGGGTGATATAAAGAAAAAGCATGATAAAGCATATTAAGAGTCACCAGCTAAAATGACTGAAAATAGTCTATAACTTGAGAGTATTTTTTTATAGTATTTGATAGTGCTTTACAATTTCAAAGCACTTTCATAAACATCCACATATATTCACACAGCATTTATTGAGCCATGTACCATGTACACCAGGAAATGGGTTCTGTATAAACCAGTGAGAAAGGTAGCACAGTTTCCCCATTTTATAGATGAGTGAAATTGTCTCAGAGAGGTGATTGACTTACCTCAGGTTACCTATTTAATATATCTCATTTAATTCAGATTTTACCTAAAATTCCACATCCTTTCCACTGTGTCTCACTCCTATCTGATCAGTGCAAACCCTGGATAATGGAACTGAGGACCGGCATTGTAAGATGTTTGGGCCTTTCCTTTGCCTAAGAAATTATCACCCTTTCATAGCCACAGCAGAGAGGCACAGTCAGGGACCTTGAGCTTTCTCCCTGGGACCTGGCATGGTTGGCAGTAACCTAGGTGGCTCTCTGGAGCTAGATAGGTTTGTGCTGGTTATTTGAGCAAATTACTAATTGCTCATTAACTCTATCACAGATAGAATAGTGTTTCCTAATATTAGGGACCTGTCTCCATAGCATTTAAAAGGCTCTGGTCCATTCTGGTACCATCTTTCCGCTCTGAACCTAGCTGGAGTCAGCCAACCAGATTCCACGCTGCTTTTCATTCATTCCTAGGAAGCCCTGCTCCTCCCTCAGGAGCACTGCACAATCCTGTTCCATCCTACCACCACCATGATGCACATACATCCAATTCAGAGGTATTCTTTGAGTGCCTCCCTCCTTATCCCTTATACTCTGGGAAAAAATATTTTCAGAAGCAAAGTCATTAGACATCATTCATTTCATTATTGTCTGTGGATAGAAAGAAGCAAAGCAGTATTCAGATTAACCATACCCAGGTATAAAAGTCTGTAGTTAATTCTACCTTGTATTCATCTTCCCTTGAGTTCTCTTTCTTGACAATAACTAGCCTTGCCCCTTTTCCTTCTGACTATAGCTATAGTTACGAGTTTTCACTCTCTTATCCAACTAATCTGAATTTGAGATGTCTGAAGTCCATTGTGCTCTTTCTTTATTTGAGGCTGAAACCTTTTAAGGCTCTCTTTTCTTCCCTTGGTCTGAGACCAGGAAGATACAAAATACTGGCTCCCTGGTATATGGAGGTGTTATTGCAATTAAGGAAGTGACCAGCTTTGCAAAGTAACTGAAGTTTCTCAGTAAGTCTTTTTTTTTAATCCTCACCTGAGAACATTTTTCCATTTTTTGTTCAGATAGAATGGGAGGAAGAGACAGGAAGAGAGAGAGAAACATCGACATGAAAGGTACACATCAAGTGGTTGCCACCCGCACGACCCAACCAGGGCCGGGGACAAACTACAACTGAGGTACATGCCCTTAGCAGGAACCGAACCCGGGTCTCTCCAGACCGCAGGCTCTAACCGCTGAGCCAATCCAGCCAGGGCTAAAGTTTCTCAATAAGTCTTAAACAAAGAGCTTGATGTCTCTGTTAATGTGAGAAGAAGGGATTATGGTGGTTCAGAGGCCTCTAGGCTAGAGTTTCTGTGTCAGCTGTATTAATTCTCTCTCCTTTCTCCAGGTTGGTTTATAAGTGGTTCCTGCTAATCTATAAAATCAGCTATGCCACTGGCATCGTTGGCTACATGGCTGTCATGTTTACCCTTTTTGGTCTTAACTTATTATTCAAGTGAGTATCCCTTGCCCCCACCCCCACCCCACCCCCGGTGTTGTGGGAGGAGAGGCTGGTGGGATATATCTTTCTTCTGGGGCAAGTCCTAGTTATTAACAGGGGAACATGGTACCCAGGATAGGAGACTTGAGCCATGGGAGATGGGAGGGTGGGCCCTCCACTATTGTGCTGGCAAAGAGAAAGGAATGTCTGGATAACACAGTTACAATTTCTAATCATTGATTATAGTTTCCAAGAATTTATATTTTAGTGGAAAAATATAATAACAAAAGTAAGAATAATAATGATTATAGCCAGTCACTAGTAACTCCATCACCCTAATAGAATCATTTTTCTTGTCCATATATTTATTGCAACATCCACTCTCCCTGAATGGTCTTATGTTCAAGGAGACTAGGCGTTGGCAAACTATGTCCTGTGGGCCAAATTGGCCTATTTCCTGTTTTTATAAAATATAAAACCTATTTTACTGAAACATAATCACACACATTTGTTTACATGTTGTCTATAGCTGGTGTTGCAGTAAAACAGCATAATTTAATAATCATGGCAGAGACTATATGGGCCACAAAAGTAAAATATTTACTGTCGGGCCCTTTACAGAAAAAGTTTGCTGACCTTAGAATACACCTTTGAACTCATGGGTTACAGTTGGCCACACCTGGCAACAGATTCATCTAGAAGGAAACAAGACAGGAAAGTGTAGGCAGTGTCCGCAGAAGTTCTCATAGTAGTCCCAGGGCTGAGATGTGAGGGAATGAGACCACGTGGATGGGTATGGGAGCCACCTGGCCCAGAAGTCCCCCCTCATCCAAGGAACACATCCAATTTCAGCAATCTTTCAGTCCATACGCAGTGTACTAATCCAAGGCCATGTTAACATGTAAGCATCGTTGCTTTGTGACAGTTGACATTCCACCATTACCAGATTTCTGAGGAAAAGTTCTAGAAAGTTAACCTGTGGACATTTAACTCTTACTCCATTGTTGGTCACTTAGGTTGTTTTTCTATTTAGTGTTATCATAGATAACATTGCTCTGTTGCTTCTTAAGGTTACATTACTAGGAGTAGGAGTCTAGCTATTGCTTTATATTGTCATATGCTTTACAAAAGATCTGTTATCAGCATAAAGGTCCCCCAAATCTCAATTGAGGCAGAAGCCAAGAAATTATGGGCTTTGGGACTGGTGGGTACAGTGAGTAGGGCAGAAGAGGGTGGAAATGTGATTTCCTGGCTGAGGTGATGAGGGCTGTGGATCACAAGGAATCCTGGGCCTGGGATAGTGCACTGACGCTAAAGAGATTTAGGATTCAAATTCATGACCACTGGCCTCTTCCCTAAACCTAGTACACTACTTTATATAGTGAGAGAACAGCCAGGAATTCTTTCTTGGCGTAGAAAAAGCTGGAAGAGTAAACAAGATTCCACAGAGGTTTATAGGAACTTATCAGTATGGAGTCTAACATATCTCAACAAAGAAAACCAAGATACCCGGCCAGTGTGGCTCAGTGGATTGAGCATTGTCCCATGGACTGAGAAATCCCGGTATGGTTCCCAGTCAGGGCACATGCCCAGATTTTGGGCTTGATCCCTAGTAGGTGGTGTGCAGGAGGCAGCTGATTCATGTTTCTCTCTCACATTGATATTTCTATTTCTCTCTTCTGTCTCTAAAAAAACTCAATAAAAACATATTTAAAAAGAAAACCAAGACAGGTATGTTCTGTGTGGTTTAAAAAAGAGTAAAAAATCAAGATTCTGCATTAAGTTTTAAAGCCATTCATTCTATAATTAGTTTCTTTTTACTTGAATAAACTCTACATGGAGGAAAACAGAATTGAGAATCTTGACCATTTGTTTGTTTGTTTGTTTGTTTATTTTCTTGACTGATGTTAGAGAGGAAGGAAGAGGGAGAAAAAGAGAGAAACATCGATGAGAGAGAACATCAATTGGCCGCCTCCTATATGTCCCACACTGGGGATTTGGCTCACAACCTGGGCATGTGCCCTGACTGGGAGTTGAACTGGCGACCTCTTGGTACATGGATCGATGCTCAACCACTGAGCCACACCAGCCAGACCAGAATCTTGACCATTTTTATGCTACTGATCAGATTAATTGGTGTTAAGATCATGATATCAAGTTAGGTTAAATATTATAAGATTGATGAACAAATTCAGCTTTCTAAGATAAATATCATTTACAGCTTTTAAGTGAACACGCACAGTTCCTGGTACAAATTTTTTTTTTAGTGAGAGAGACATTGATGGGAGAGGGAAACATCAATCAGTTGCCTCCCCACATGTACCCTGATTGGGGATCAAACCTCAACCTGGGTATGTGCCCTGACTGGGAATTGAACCAGTGACCTTTTGGTACACAGGATGATGTTCCAACCAACTGAGCCACACTGGGTAGAGCACAAATATTTTATCAAAGGTACTTTTCTAAAATGAACATTTATAGACTCAGGTTCCAGATTTTGGTCCTTGGACTTATTAAAACAAACCTCCTGATAACACAGGCAAGAACTTTGTCCTTTTATCTGAAACTAATATAATTTTATTAACCATTGTCACCCCAATAAATTCAATTAAAAAAAAAAGAACTTTGTTTTTCTTAGTAAATAGACATGGACCAAAATTTAACTTGATGACATACAGAATATGTATAGATGCAACTTAAAATTTTGTGGTAACTGGACTGTAACTGTCTAACTTTTTTTTTCTGTAAACTGTGGTTGGCAAACTTTTTCTGTAAAGGGTTAAAGAATAAATATTTTAGGCTTTGTGGGATTAAAGGTGAAATCTAGGATATGATATAGGTACTTATATAACAAGAGAGAAACATCCTTCCTTGCCCTGCCCTGTTTGCCTGAGTAGGCTGTCTCAGATGGTGGCATACTTTGTGCCCACTTGCCATCAGACAAGACATTCTCAGAAACAGGGGCCTGAAAGGGGGTATGTGACCACTGGGATCATTGTCACACTCTGCTCCAGAGACACCAGTAGAGTCCCCAGGATGTTAGGTGCCAACCAGAGCAGGGCCTAGGCAGCTGCAACGCATAGTTGCCAGTTGGAGGAGGCAGGCACTGGGAACATGGTGGGAAAGTGGGGCAGAAAGGGGATACCCTGGCTTTGTCTTTGTGGCTCACAATAGCCCCTTGAAGTGATGCCCACAGACACTAAAAACAGGCAGCGGGCCAAATTTGGTCTTAGTTTGCCAACACTTGCTCTAGCCCTTGAATCTTCAATCTTTAGGCACCACCTTCTGTGTCCCAGAGTAGTAATACAACACAGTTGTGTCTCAGGGCAGGCCATGCTGCTTCCTTTACAGGATCAAACCAGAAGATGCCATGGACTTTGGCATTTCTCTCCTCTTCTATGGCCTCTACTATGGTGTCCTTGAGCGGGACTTTGCAGAAATGTGTGCAGACTACATGGCGTCTACCATAGGGGTGAGTTCACCTGGGCTCTTAATACTGCTTCCTGCCATCTTCAAAGAGTTCAGGATAGCATCACTTGTTTGACAGAAGAGAGGAGCCATATAAAATCCTTCAAGATGTGGGTGGTATATATGGAGATTTCTTCCTTAAAATTTGGAAAGTCAGATATCAGATGTACTCTGGAATTTTTACTTTAAAATGAAAAAAAACACTTTACCCTGCAGGAAGCTAACATCCGTTCAACAAGAATTTATGTAATGCCTGTGTGCCTGAGCACTGTATATGCTGGGATTACAAAGTGTACAGACACAGATGTGGTCCTTGCCTAAATAGAGCTTACTCTCTAGTGACGGGGATGGGTATTAAGGTAATAAACAGAAAAATAAATATAACATTACAACTTTAATAAATATTATGAAGGAAAAGTTTATGATGCAATGAACAAATATAATAGTGGCATTTGACCTGGTCTCAGGTCTCAAAAAGCTTCCCTGGAGAAGTGACTACTGAGCTGACTTGAGCAATGAGTAGGAGTTAACTACATGGAGTAGGAAGTGAAGGGGAAATAGCATGTTGGAAGAGTTCTTGGGATGGGAGAAAGGGTGGGCATTTTGAGGAACTAAGGCTAATATGGTTGTTGAGCTGAGGATGTAGAGAGATATCTGGAGACATAGCCAGAGGCTAGACTAGAAAAAGCCATATAGGATGAACAAAAGATTGTGATTTTTATACTAAAAAGACTGGAAGGCTGTGATAGAAAATGACATTTTGAAAAGACCATAAGATTTACATTTTGTAAAGATCATACTGGCTGCTGGGTAGAGAAGAGTTTGGAAAGGGGTCTACAAAGTAGAGTGGACCACTTAAGGCTATTTAAGAGACATTTGCACTAGTCTGGGAAAGATGAAGGAAATTTGGATTGGGGTGGACATGGTGGAAAGGGAGAGAAGAACACTATTTGAGAAGTATTTTGGAGGTAAGTTTGATAGGACTTGGACATAGATTGGTTCTGGAGCCTGAAGGAAAAAAATATGAAGGAAAAGTAGGTATTAAAACAGATTTCTGTCCGACCGACGTGGCTCAGTGGTTGAGCAGCGTCGACCCCTGTATCAGGTTATGGTTCTGTTCCCGGTCGGGACACATGCCTAGGTTGTGGGCCAGATCCCTGGTGGGGAGCACGTAGGAGACGGCCAATAGATATTATCGATCTTTCCCTCTCACTTTCTCTCTTTTTAAGGTCAATAAAGGGAAAAAAAAAATTTTAATAAAAAAAAAGCTGAGATTTCTAACTCAAGCAACTCCTTGAATGATGTACACTTTAGTGAGATAGGAAATGCTGTAAGAGGACAAGAGAGTGGAGACCATGGAGAAATTCTCCAAGCTTAAAATATGGGTAAAGTAACAGCCAGTCTGAGAAACCCAAGTCAGTCTCCCTATTTTTTTTCATAATGGAAATGTCTTTGTTTTGTTGTTTACATTCTCTTAATTATGTAAATGACACAGAAGTGTTCCCCATCTCAGTGTCATCCCATTAGACCCTACCCCAAGGAAGAATATTTCAAAATTTAGTGGACATTTCTCCATTTCTGTGCTGAAATACACGTGGCTCTGTCTGATGAAGGGGGACTGAAAGGCATTCAGAAGAAGTTCTTGGCAGCTTGGAGTGAAACCCTGGGAAAACATCAGGAAAGTAGGTTCTCTTGGAGCATCCAGATACCAGTTCTAGTTTTTAGGCAGTAGATATCGGTGGAGACCAAGTGATAAGAACAGGAAAGGATGGGCACTGACTTTTTGTGAGGCGCCTCAGGAACTCTGGAAGGGTTTGAGGCAGTTTTGCAGGTGGGAGACTGTTTGCTTTGTTAACTTGTATGTCCATGCTACTGCCATCTCATTTGTGTCTCAGGCCAGGAGGCTTAGGGCAATTTAGGTTAAATAATACTCAAGCATCACCTTGGATACCTTTAATCAAGTATAGTTTTAGATCTGGGACTTTGTTTCTCAGTGTTATGGGCCTGTTTATTTTTCCTATAATGGGTCAAAGTGAAAACAGTATATTGGGCCACTTTATAGACAGCTTATTTGGTTCTTTTTTGAATAACTGTCTTATGTTTTAGCTGCATTTTGCTATCTCATACATATTTGTGTAGGCTTCAGGTTTTCCTGTAGCTAGTTTACTTCCCAGAAGAGATTTTTAGACTCTATATAATTATTAACTTCACTTTCAACAACAGCTGTTTCTAAGACTGCTTCTATGGCATAGCCAGCTTTTCAAAGTGACTCTTGCCAGTATCCTTTCCTTTACTCTCTAGTGATTTCTTTTTCTTCTCATTCTGTTTTTACAGGACCAATTCTCTGATTTTCCCAGGTTGCCAACTTTATCTCAAGGCTATTATCAGCTGCCAATTTAAGTATAGCCTTAATTCCCTCAGGTGGGTCACTGGTAACCAAATGCGGCTGAGCTCAGAATTGATCCACAGATAGTTTCTTCTCTAGGGAATGGAATCATTACGTTTGCCTCTCCAAAACAGGATTTGAGCTGGGCCTCTTTCCATGTTCTTGGGAAGACTTATTGGATGCGCCAGTGATTACAAATGATAATTCCTAGTAAGATAATTCCCCAATTATGATAAGTTCCAACTTTATCAAGAGACCTGGTGGGAGAATTTCTTATTAGGGTAGAGGATGCCTCAAATACCAGGTTCTCAACCTGTGGATTGTGACCCCTTTTGGGGGTCGAACGACCCTTTCACAGGGGTCACCTAAGACCATCAGAAAACATCCAGTGGTGATTCATAACAGTAGCAAAATTAGTTATGAAGTAGCAACGAAAATAATTTTATGGTTGGGGGTCACCACAACATGAGAACTGTATTAAAGGGTCGCGACATTAGGAAGGTTGAAAACCACTGCTTAATGGGATCTTACTATCCATGCCTGGCCCATATATAAGCCCACATACTTTCCTGTACCTCTTAGCACAAGAACAGAAGGATCAAACAGTCACATAGGACTTTATTAAAAGGTTGAGGATGATAGCAGGAAAATAAACCAAGGGTACTTGACTAAGGTTACTCTGACTTACCAGGCTCTCTGCTTCCCAGGGTTTCCAGACCCTACCTTTTCCAACTCTCAGCCTACCTCTGTGTAACCAGTGCCATTTTGATACCGACCACATCTAGCCAACTATTTTCAAATGTCTAGACCTAGAGCCTGTGTTCCTGACAAAAATATGCCATACCCTCCTCTATCTCTCAGGCCAGCCTTCTGAATCCTAGTATCTTATATGAGGATTTGCCTCTTCCCTAGCCAATTGACATTGAAAATGGCTATCCCTTTTAGAGGAGTCACTCTGCCCAACCCCTGTCCAACAGAATGTAACCTTGCTGACCTTAACTATAGACAGTCTACTGTTTCCCCAGGTTCCCGTCTCAGAGCAGGGAGTGGGTCATAGGAAGACTAGTTGATCATAGAAAGGGTTTTGTTAGTACTGGGTGAGACACACCAGGAGTTCATTCATTGTTTCCCTAGCAAATATTGCTGAGACTTAGTGACAGGCTTTCTTCTAGGGCCTGGGATACCAACAGATCAGACCAGGCAAGGATATGGGAGAAGGGACTTCAACATGGACTAAAGGGATAGATTGCACTGTCTACAGTTCCTTGTAGATTTCAGGACTTTCTTATTTCTTCCTGTCTTTGGTCCAGTGGGCCTTGGTGTGCTCTGGGCCTCTGAACCAAGGCAACCTGAATTTCAAGGATACCCCTGACCTTAAAACCAGAATCTGGTCAGTACTTTGGGGAAGGCAATTTGAGGAAGCCCGGAAACTTCAGCCTTCCATGCATTCATTGGCCAACTCATTCATTTGTTCAGGCAACAATTATATATCAACCATCTACAATGTACCAAGTATGACCAAGTACAGTCTTTAGTAGCACCACTATCACCCACTTCCAGGAGCAGCACTAGTCATTTTTTTAAATTGTGGTAAAATACACATAACATTGCCCTGGCCAGGTGACTCAGTTGTTTGGAGCATTGTCCCATGCACCAAAGGGTTGCCAGTTCAATCCCCAGTCAGGGCATGTATGGGAAGCAACTGATCAATGTTTCTCTCTCACATCAGTGTTTCTCTTTCTCTCCCCCTTCCTCTCTCTCTAACCAATAAAAACATGTCCTCAGGTAAGCATTAAAAGTACACGCAACATAAAATTTACTATCTTAATCATTTTTAAGTGTCTAATTCAGTGGCATTAAGTACACTTATATTATTCTGCAACCATTACTACTGTCTATCCATAAAACTCTTCTCTTCATTTTGCAAAACTGAAGTTCCATACCCATTAAATAGTAGCTCAGTTATTCACACACACACCCCCCCCCCGCCCCAGGTAGCCACCATTCTACTTTCTGTCTTTGAATTTGACCACTCTAGGTACCTCATACAAGTGGACTCATGCAATATTTGACTTTTGTGACTGGCTTATTTCACTTAAGCATAATGTCCTCAAGGTTCACTCATGTTGTAGTATGTATCACAATTTCCTTTCTTTTGTAAGTGAATAATATTCCACTGTATGTATATACCACATTTTCAGTCCTGTTCATTTTTCATAGTCTTTTGTACATTCTGTGCTTGTGGCTCCTATCCCAGAGAGTCATAGTTGATGTTGGAGCTGTTCTGCTTAGGATGCCAGGAACTAGGTCTTAGTCATCACTTGGTTCCCCTGTGAGAGTGGTCTAACCTAAAATGATTTATGAATGTCAGGGTTCTTAGAAATGAAACCAGGGGTTTTTGTAAGTATATTAACAAACATTTTCAATTTCTTTACACTGTTCTGTTTAGTGTAGAACAGCTCTCTGATTTGTCTCACTTGGAGAAATTTGTAATATGAACTAAAGTAATTCTCTTCATATGATGAGTCTAGGAAACCTTGGATGTTTGTTTCTTCCCATCTGGTCACTATGAGGTCATAAGCTTGTGACAGTCAATCAGCATAGTTTCCATTCATACC